CCCGCCCGGTGTATTTCTTCGTTTCTCTTTTTTTCTTTTCAGAGGCTGGTTCGTTTTCTTTTTTTTACTTTCGTTTTTTGGTTTTCGAAAAATGAAGAAAAACCTGTTTTCGAAAAATGAAGAAAAACCTGCTACCCGTAGCTCTAGGCTCGGCAAGGCTCGGCTTACCGGTAGCGGGAGGCTTGGACTCAATAGCTGGGCGAGGTACTGGTGGTTTCAACCACCAGTACCTCTCTCAGCTATTGATGCCGAGTCTAAAAATGCCCTGCGAGCCAATTTTTGTCGAGCCTGCAAGTGAAAGGTACCAGCACAAGGGAAAAAGAGGGCGGTTCCGGTACCCTCCTCTCTGAAACCCTTCTGCTGGACCTCTGACCAGCAGAGGGAATACAAAGAAGGTGGTCGTTTTCACACACGAAAAACAAAAGAAGTGAAAAAAAAAATAAATGAAAGACGCCGAAGGCATTCAAGTGCTCCCCACCTCTGACGGGAGTCTTTTTTTTAATCTGGACTCTGGAGAGGACAGCGGCCTTTCCGGACTTTTTTATTTTGCATTGTCGTATTACTGTGGGAACCCCGTAGCAGTCACCCCGTGTTCAAGCCTCCAATGAGGGAACATGGGCGGGCTGCACTCTACATGCAGGTGGGCGATACCGGCCAGGGGTCAGCCGGTAGCATCAGGACCGAGCTTCTTCGATGGGTCAGTCGCTGTGTCTCCCCTCCAGTCTCCTCCCCCTACAAACATTAGCAGTCACTGCTCAATGCCAATCGGGGGGACCAAGGGGCTCTCTCTCGGTGGCAGCCGCCAAGATTGAGCAGGAAGGTACATGAGCCGAATGGGGATTGAGCCCGAGACCTCCTGAATGCCCCTCGTGTCCCTTACCTTACCAGCTGATCTACGGGAAGCCCCTGATAAACAACCGAGATTCTGCTTCCTCAGGAAAGAAAAAAAAGAGTCCAGTTGATGTAGCTCAGTGGTTAGAGCACTGGTTGGAAATGCGCATTGTGGTACGAGGTTGCGGGTTCAAAACTCAATTGCAGCCTTGCGCATGGACAACGGCAGGGCGTTAGAATGACGCACAGCTGGACACACATTCCCTGGGGCTGACGCATGGTAAGCTTATGCAGACACTGCCTGTGCACCACCCAAGGGTTGTCCATGGTGTTGTATGTCGGGTCTTGATACTGCGTGGGTTGCTTGTGGCTGTTGCTCGTGGTTGTTCTGAAGATCTCCCCAGTCACGGATTCGAGTCTGGCTTGGGAGTTCGGGGGGGGTTCTTGTCCAGCTTGGCCTGTCATCTCTTCAAATGAACACAGAGTTCCCTCTACATAGTACTGCACTTATCTGGCCTTCGGGCACATACATCTCGCTATACACTTAGACAGAGCACACATACCCTTCGGGAAGATACACAAACACATGGCCCTATGGGCTCATACAAACATACATAGCCTCTGGCCATACACACATACACACATGGGCAGGGGGGGTATATCAGGTATACGACAGGGTCTGCTCACGCATGTCTTAGCTCTAGGGTAGGAGTAGGGTATAAGTCGATCCGGTTAGTCTGAGTTCCGCCCAGCCTTGGGTAAGCTAGGGGAAGGACGGTAGGATGTGCCCG